AGAAGGCAGCTGAAAAGTCAGTTAACTGTGTACATTCCAAGCAATTAGGGCATTTCAATAAGCTGAATTGTAAAGCTTTAAGTATTTGTAAGGATTTTAATACGCGTACTGAGCAAGAAGGCTCGTTCTTCAAAACTCTTAAGTGATCGAGTATTTGAGTAATTTAGTGTTAACTGTTAACTGAGTTTTGGGTGACCGTGAATTTCATGCGACATACGTAACAGTCGATGCTTTCCTCAAGTATAACGGCGGAGTTGTAAGAGTATGTAAACCTCCGACTGAACGATTTGATCTATCAGCGTATTGCAAAGGAGGTAAAAATCCTTGGCTATAACATAATTTTTAATATTAGTCATACTTTGTAATTATATAAAAANAAAAATCAAACAACTTTTTAAATATTTAATAAATTTTGCATTATAATGATAAAAAAGAAGAAAAAGCAATACGTTATTTAATTAAACACGAACACGTTCTGATTTTTCTAAATAACCACGATATATTCTTCCATCCGATCCTTGTAAAGGTACTTCTTCCCTATTAGATTAGACAAAAAATATATTACAAAATACTTTAAAAACGTTATCATTCTTTAACTAAAAAACGTCATAATATTTTTCACAAATATTAAAATTAAAAAATAAAATTCGTAATTACCAAATTTTTGTCGATTGTGATCTATAGAAAAAATTAATAAAAAAATTAATAAATTTTATAAAATTAAAACTTAAATATAATTATTATAAATATAGAAGGCAGCTGAAAAGTCAGTTAACTGTGTACATTCCAAGCAATTAGGGCATTTCAATAAGCTGAATTGTAAAGCTTTAAGTATTTGTAAGGATTTTAATACGCGTACTGAGCAAGAAGGCTCGTTCTTCAAAACTCTTAAGTGATCGAGTATTTGAGTAATTTAGTGTTAACTGTTAACTGAGTTTTGGGTGACCGTGAATTTCATGCGACATACGTAACAGTCGATGCTTTCCTCAAGTATAACGGCGGAGTTGTAAGAGTATGTAAACCTCCGACTGAACGATTTGATCTATCAGCGTATTGCAAAGGAGGTAAAAATCCTTGGCTATAACATAATTTTTAATATTAGTCATACTTTGTAATTATATAAAAAATATTATAAAAATAGCGAATAATTTAATTTATTTACCATTCTAGTAATTGATCTCCGATGCGTTTTGGCATCGTTGCATTATGGCTACCATCGCTTATTACAACACTGAAAAATCCAAATTTTGTAAATTTAATGTAATATTTAATTTTAAAAATTAAATTATTAAGGTATTTTTTGATATATAAGAATAAATCTCACTTTCTCTCATTCGGTCTTAGTGGTCTATCGCAAGATATGCACCGTCTAATAAAATTAAAAATTAATTTTGATATATTATTTAGAAATTTCATTGATTTTAATTTTATAAAATTCTTTTTCAAAATTTACAGCTTAACGCCCGCAGCACTTGGTCCTTCTTCTACTGCTTCTTTCAATTGCTTCAATTTCGTAACAATCGTCTTCAGTCGTTCTTTCAGATTTTCTTTATAATTATCCAATTCCTTTCTTTCGAGTTTCTGGTTCACAAGTACAGTTAAATCTTGTACTGTTCTTTCCAATGTTTGCTCCTATCAAAATAATAGTAATTATTCTATAATAAAACTTCGCAATAACACTAATTCGGATTAATGCCATAGTTTCTTCTTCCGCGTTTTGGAATATGGGTACGCGATAAATTATACACAGCAAACTAAGTGTACGGCTGTATAAATGTAATTTCACTATTCTTATTTTTATGCTATGGATCCAAATAAATGAATGCAACTCTTTCCTCCTTTAATTAACGTTTTTTCTTCCCGAATTAGTACAGTTTTTGGAGGTGGGAATGAAACAATTAAAGTTTAAACAAATGAGTCGATTTTAGGTGTAAATTATTCCAATGCTTTCTAACAATTTTGATTTGTTTGCTGAAAAGAACACGTTAAAAGAACCCTACATTTTGGAGCAAAATGCCCGATTTTCCATTCAGGGAGATCCGATCTTCATTTGCACAATAATTGAAAAATCTACTTTAAAACATTATTATTTATTAACCTCGAAATAATGCGATGAGACATTTTACTCGATTGAACTGCTTTTATGGCTAGTTTCTATTGTACTTGAAAATGTCAATGGATTAATAGAAGAGTGTAATAAACAAACATTGTTAATTACGCTTATTATTTAATTTATTAAATGAAATTAATGAACTTACTTGACCAGAAATTTTAGCGATTATGTCGTTGAAACCTGAATTTATTTCTTCACAGGAAGTTAAATATTCCGATTTATTGACTTTTTCGTCTAGTTGTGTCTTATCGGCTTTCTGGAATGAAATTAATATATTTATTTTAAATATTACTCAAAATTTATTTTCTATATGGTACACTGTTGACCCCAGGATTTAGACGGCCGGATTGCCGAGCTTAATGTGGCAATCTACCTTTCTGGGAGACCCGGAATCGAATTCCGACGGTCGTAAAAACCCCAGGAGTTTTTCGTGGGTGGTTCTCGGGCCCCTCCTTCACCACCTAGCGCTCCATTAAGGGCCTGGCCGAACTCATAATGGACCTGTAAAAGAGGCCCTCTTAGTACCCACAAAGCGAAAAGAGTTTAAAAAAAGGGCTTTCTGAAATATCCGACCCAATACAGTAATTGGGAATTTCTGTTATTATGTGGAATGGTCGCTAGGCAGCATCTCCGCTTGAAAGTATGACGTTTCTGTCTCTCGATTTACCGTAATACACTGTAGACTGTTTGTATCACGTATCATATCTCATTTGAAGCTCACTTTATAGCTGACCCTGACATCCTCGAATGTAACAGGTTATTATAGAAATATACGAAGAATTTTTACCCGTTATATCAGCAGATAGATACGCTATAAGATAAATGTAATTTACGACACGCTATGTTTCATTTACTATATTTACTAATGAAGTAAACAATGTATTGTTTTTCTAAAGTACTTTTACATAACATATTCTTTTAAAGGAATTCTAAATAATATAATGTAAAAGAATTATTCTTACTTTTTCAAGTTCTTCTATCATTTCACTTCTGTCTGCTTTATAATTTCGAATTTCTTCCACATGAACTTGTATATCCTATATTTTGTTAAATTAAAATTTGATAAATATTAAAATAAAATGGTTTAATTATTTATAACAACTTTATAAATATATGAAATATTAAAAACGAATGAAAAATATACATTTATAATCGAAAGCTTTTTCAATTCTTTAAAAATTTCTTTCAATTGATCTTCAACATCTTGAAGATTTTTTCTACCCTGTAAAGTATTTAATAGTAATTTAAAAAATTAAATATTTAACCATTTATTGTAATATGATTTTCTTAATTAATAACCTCCTCCGTCATGTCGTCCTGAATTTTTGCAATTTCCGTAACGGTCTCTGTTAAATTATACAATTTTTTATTTAAAACATTTAACAATTCGTAAAAGTCTGACATTTTTTCTTTTGCTGTATCCATGTATAAAGAAAGATTTTCGATAATAGCTTCTGTTTCAGCCATTTTCTCTTCATTAGCGATTGCTTCTTCGGCTCTCATTCGCAGCATTTCTTTGTTAGATTCTGCAATTTGTTCTATCCGCTCTTCTACTGCGGTTACCTAATAAATTCGTAAAGTTAAGCTTTGTTATTTATACAGATGGTCCAGAACGGATTCACGTTTAATCTTTCTGGTCCAAGCATGAAATTTGAATGGTAAATTTTGGGTTATCGTGTATTAAAGCCAATTAGACTGTTGGTATTTTCTTCAGTGGTTGAAACATATTTTATAGCTTTAGTTAGATTATTAAGCTAACCTAAATCAATTAATTTATAATAAGGCTATATACTCCCATTATTAATGACAAATTTCTAAGTATCTTACTTTCGTTTGCAGCTCTTCCAAATTAATTGCTGCTCCCAAAACTTGTTGCATATCAGGTGGATATTCACCATACTGAATGTTTTCTTCAAAATTAAAAAAAATGTACATATATTAATTTTGAAATAATGATTTTAAATAC